GGAAAGGGAGGGTGCCTAATGTTGTAACATATACAATAATGATTGATGGTTTGTGTAAATCCGGGAAATTTGATAATGCTGTTGATGTTTGGAAGGAAATGATAGGGAAGGGCTTGAGTCCGGATAATAATACTTGTTGTGCACTAGTTGTGGAGTTCTGTGAAGGAAGGAAGGTTGATTTGGCATATGAGCTTGTTGTTGATGTAATGAAAGTTAGAAAGGTTGATTTTAGCACATTGATTTATAATGCACTAATTAGCGGGTTTTGTAGATCTGGGAGCATTGATAAAGCAATGGCAATAAAGTCATTTATGAAGAGAAATGGGTGTCAACCGGATTTGGTTACGCATAATGTCTTGTTGAATTATTGTTGTGATGAGCTTATGTTGGAAAGGGCAGAGAAGTTGACGAACAAATGGAGAGGTGTGGGATAAAGCCAGATATTTATAGTTATAACCAGATGCTTAAGGGGCATTGTAAAGCTAATAGGCTAGATACAGCTTATTTGTTAATGGTGAACAAGATGGAGCCTTATGGGTTATGTGATGTTATTACATATAATACTCTCATCAAAGCATTTTGTGAGGGTGGTCGTACTAGAAAGGGCTATAAGTTGTTTGAGGAAATGAGTGGGAAGGGGATTGCACCTGATGTTGTGACATTCACCATTCTCATAAAAGCTTTCTTTAGAGAAGATGATTCTAATATAGTAAAAGTACTTCTTGATCATATGACTAGCATTGGTTTGTTGTCTGATCGTATTTTATATACTACAATTGTTGATAATTTATGCAAAAGTGGGAAGGTTGAAATGGCTCATGGTAATTTTCATGACATGCTCAAGCAGGGAATTACACCAGACGTGGTTTCATACAATGCCCTCATAAATGAGTTTTTCAAGTCTAATAGGGTAACTGAAGCCATGCATCTATTTGAGGAAATGCAGGCAAAAGGATTTTGTCCTGATGAGGTAACTTTCAAGTTGATTATTGGAGGACTTATTCGGGAAAAAAAGATTTCAAGTGCTTGTAAAGTATGGGATCAAATGATGGAGAAGGGTTTTACACTTGATGGAGCTATTTCTGAAACACTAATCCATGCCATTAATTCAAGAGATGCTACATGAACATAGCTAATGGTTTGTATCTCGAAATCCATCCTCTCTTTCCTTGTGCATGCATGTATCATGATTGTATTCTTCATTTTCTATAAAGTTAAACTTGAATGAGTTGCTCTAAGAGCAGTTTCAGAAGAATTTATTAACACTACTGCTAGCTGGCAGCAGTACCAAACCAACGATACCTTATGTAGCAAGCAATTTCCATTAATTCAACGGTATTATGGCTATGTTTAGTGTTTATGTGAACTCTGGAATCTAGCTAGTGGAAAATCATGTTTTAATGCTTGTGAAATTGTGATTCAGTGGGCTAAAATGCTTCTGATTTGCATTAGGGGCATTTTTTTCTAGTGTTTTTTATTCACAACTGCTGGAGTGTTTTTCTACAT